ATATATATATGTAGAGAGAGAGAGAGAGAGAGAGAGAGAGAGAGAGAGAGAGAATGAAAGTGTTCTAAAGTTCATTTGAAATAAATGAAAGCTTTCAGGTTCACACTTGAAAGAATTTTCAATACTATGTCCAAACACCAACAAAAGAGATTGAACTCAGGTAGAAGATTGAACAAATCATTGAAATCTGTAATCCCCAGGAGACAATAACAAAACTTCTTATCAAGGTACTATATCTTCTGGTTCAGTAGCAAACACAGGACATGAAAGTAGGTTTACTTATGGACAAATGTAAAGTTTCCTAGGCCTTTTATCTGGATTTCCAATGGACAGTTTTAGAATAGGTGGCTGCTATTGACACCCTGGGAAGACAATTTTCAAATTGCTTCCTGTAGGGTGTAACTTTCTGTGGACTTTAGGCCTTTGAGACCAAAACCCATGAGGCATTTATTATATGAGAATTTTAATAAAAGGTGCAATAACCCTGAAAATAGTGCCTTTAATAATCTAAGTACTATTAGTAACAATGCATGCATAGTGCCGTGCATTTATAACTATTTGTTCATAAAAATATGTGACTGCAATTAGGATATTTATAGTCAACTTATAAAAATACATGTAATTATGAATGGCAATCGTTAATCCCTAGCTCTAACCACAAGTCTAGAAGGATTAGCTTGTTATGGTAAAGTGCGATGGATAATTACAAAATGGACATAGCTCTCACACTTGAGTTTGACATACAAAGATGGCTATTACAGCATCATAGGAGCTTCAACTGTCACAATTCTCCCTTTCACATCACAAGATAAAATCTGTGAATTTAGTTCTGTGGAGATAAATGGGAATCAAATGGGAGAGAAACATTCACACGATACAACCACAGAGGAGAATAATTCTGTCACACAGTATTTATGCACAACCCTCAAAGAGGCTCACGGTTGCTGCAAGAATTCATGAGATGACATCTAAACTGATTAATGCTTTTGAGGTTAAGAACCTAAGTTTTAGCCAAATCTCATTCAGTAATTTAGGTGAGTATCTCTTTGAAGCTTAATCTCATGGAGAGTGGAGCTTCTATGGTACTTTCTATTTCGAATTTAATTCACAATCCAATTTAAATGCAGAAATGGTGTGGTTTTGCAAACTTTAAAAATCTCTCAGTTTAAATGAAAAACATTTCACTTAAAATATTCCATGAATCTGAAATATTTCCTACAGGTTTCTTTTCTTTAGGGTTTGATTGGTCATCTGTTGATAGTAGACAAATTCCTAATTTGAACCCCATCAGTACTTCACAAATGGACAGACCAATGAGAGAAAACTCGAAAAAGCTAGAGCGGTACACAAGCTGATGGAAAAGACTGAGGTTGGGGGTTACCTGCAAATCATGATCTCATATTTGGGCTGTATCTTGGTAACCAGTCAAGGATTATTGGAAATACCTGTATCACAGTGAGATTTGGGAAATTAGATGATGCTTAGTTAGATTCTTCTGGGCTTAAATTACTTCCAAAGACAGAGCTAAGGCATTTGGGGTGGTGTAACTCTTCCAGAGCACGGAATTCCATTTCAGTAAGTTATCGCTACAGTTCACTAGAGAGTACCATTGTGTTCTGGAAAAGACAATGTCCCTTCCAAAATGCCACCTCTCAAGACAGCTGAACAATGAGAAACTCATATTCACTTCAGACACATTGATTCTTAAAGATGTAACCTAGAAAAGAAGTCTTTCCCCATCCAAATGGAGGTTATCTGGATGGAGATGTGAAATTAATGCTGTCCTGCTGGTTTGGCAGAATATTCTGCTTTCTCCATATGCTTTTGGCAACTGGCATGCTAGATTTTCATTTTGTAATTCACCCTGCCAATCTTCTTTGCATTTAGAATGGTTTATGATAATGAAGGGAAAAGAAACAACCCAAACAGGCAACATTTTTTTCAAAAGCAGGTGAATGAATGGAGTATGACACACCATGGAAAGATTCGGAGTGTTAGTGGAATCTCTCAGCTGGTTTTTTCCCATCTTTTTAAAAGGCTGTTAAAAAAAAAAAATCTTTGCAAATGATGTGTAATCTGTGAAAGAAGAATCCCTCCTCCCATCTCCAAAACCCAAACCAAAATGTTCCTGAGAAACCTCCACTTCAAATATGAGATCATGGTCTGGAGGTTTACGAGTTTAAAAACCACTTTGTCCTGGCACAGCAATCATGAGGTAAAAGGCTAGGGTTATCCATGGCATGACTTTACAAATACAGTGAAACAGTAACTCTGCACTTACAGACAATTATTTTCCATACTCATCTGTAGGTATTGTGCCCAAATGAACGCAACGAAGAGGGTGTGGATCATTTCTTATAGAAATGCAAGATCTTAAGTTAGGACAAAACAAACTCCATTCAAGAAAATAACGTTTTATTTAAATGTTTTTCATTTTAGAATCTGTTCTTTCCCTTCATATTCTAGAATACTCTTTTATTCATAAAAATACAGTTGTTTTGTTACCTCATTGATCTATCAGCTTTATTTCCAAAGACTGTAATAAGAATGAGATGGTTTGTAACTTAAAAAAAAAATTTATCTGAGTTCGGGAGTTTTGTTTTACTTTTATAAGATGTTAATATTATTAATTCAATTAAACATAGAATCAAAGTTAGTGGGCAACAGTAGCTTTCTTCAGGTAAAAGTTCTTATGGACATTTGTTACATCCTACCAGGAAATAAATTATGCTACTACTTGCCATGGAGAATGGCATTTTCTAAACATTTTCTCCACCAGGAAGCACAGCATTAATCCAAATAAGCACCTAACAGACAGATGGTCTGCTAGGCAGCAGCTTTAAGCATGAACTTGATTGAACATTTACCTCTTGGCTTTTTTTGAGAAAGAATTCAGCAGTAGGTACTGTTAGTACGTCACCTGTGAGGAGCTATGGTCACCTTAGGAGGTTACTTTCTAGGTAACAAGAACAATGATATTGCAAGAAGCTACAAAATGATGTTGCAGTAGTTACTGTGACTCTACTATAGTGGCCATGGCTTGGGATGTTGTTCCAAATATTAATGCGAGGAACTCACTAGAGTTTATAGCATTAAAATATTTTCCTTACACTAAGAACCATTTGATGGTATGTGATGAGTGATGTTGATCCATTTTTCTATATTTCACTCTACAAGTTTCCTAGTTAGGTTTCCTTTCTCTATGTAAATTATCTGTATTTCATGACAGTGTATTTTCACTATCTAAAATAAAAATGTTATAACTATGGAATACCCTGGCTTTCTCTCTCTCTGTCGTTCTCTGTCTCTCTCTCTCTGTTTTTCTATCTTTCTCTCCACACACAAACACACACTCACACTTGTGTACCCTTACACACATATGTATAGATGATATGCATAAAGTGCTCATTTGCAGGTGGTTGAACTCTCTGAAAGCAGCCATATCAGCTTTCCAAATACAGATAACTATTAAAGGCTAATGAAGAACCACCTCAACTATTTAGCTCTAACATAAGATTTTAAACACTGTTCATGTTTCTAATTCTAATGCTTTCTGTATTTTTTGTTAAAAAACTAGAGTCTCAATGATTAATAACATGACATGTAGAAACTAATAGGTTCAAATTTTTGTTTATTTTGCTTATCACATAGTTGAATAACCCTTTTGCTGCCTAGACAGATGAGTTGATCTTGAATGGCCATTGATGAGTCTATATATTTTGAATGGCCACTGATGAGTTTTATTGGCTAAAGCTGATTTGACTTTCTAGAGAAAGGTCAGCCTATTGCAAATGGACACCTTCCTCCACACAAATACCAATGTGCACTAACGACGAATCTAAGTATATGTATATATGGCATATATACATATATATGTACACATAAAATGGATAGGGAAGTCCTTTGGTTTAGACAGGATTAAATATATACTTCCCAAGTGCATAGGTTTCCTTCAACCAACCTGTTCAAAAAACTAACATGAAAAGTGACATAGCAATTCTGACATTTCCTAAGTTTTTCTCCCTGTTTGGTGGCTATTTTTTCTCTCATTTCCATTGCTCCTAAGCATTTATTTTTTAAGTAATTAGATCTTTTAGCCTTCTATCTTAACACTTCTTTGATTCATCCATTCCTTGGAAGAGCTCTAAGATCACATCCACAAATTTATCTTTCGTGGAGATCAAGGTTGCAAGGAACTTACCCCCTTTTATTCCCTCTTCCCCCCAAGAAGCAGACACTTTGATGTGCCGTGAGAAATGCACTCTTGATCTGACTTGCCTGTTACCCCTGGCCAGCCCAAGCAGCTGAGGTCTGAGCTTTACTCTCCCTGCATCGTTGTGCAATACTGGAAAAGAAAAATAATCCATCAGTCTGCACCCCTCAGACTGTGGTGACATGGTCAGGGTTCTCTTGAATTTCTATGCATCCAATTTCCTCTCTCTCCTTTCGTTTGGCGCGTTTCTTTTTCTTGTGGTGCTTTTTGGAAGGAGGGAAAAAGGTTAGGAACACAGGTAAAATAACAAAACAGTGCAAAAGTGTGCAACCCCCAGTGAGCAGCAAGCATTTGAACAGTGTGAAGGTCAGGTTCGAAGGCACAAATAGGAGGGGGACCAACCCAATAAGAAAAGAAGTAATATTTTGCAAAATGGCTGTCCCGTGCTCTTGCAGGGAGATTTTTATACATTGTGTTCGGGTGTGCTCAGTTGCTAATACAAATGTGTAAAGCAGTGGTGCACAGTGGTCAATGGCAAAATTTAAAGTGTAGATAAGGCACAAGATAGAAATACAATCCATGTCGACGTTCCATAATGTCATTAAGCCCAGAACGCCCAGCTCAACTGAGGTGACACTAAGAATTAGCCAGAAGTTTCCCAGAGGATGGATCACAAGAAAAAAAGTCAGGACTAACACCAGGAGAACACCAAAGCCTGCAATCAGAACAGGCACTGTAACAGACAAACTGTAATGGTCCATAAACACAAAGGAGGGGTTGAACACGATGAATCGGATGCTCTTTGAGAGGGAGAGGGGCCTCAATTTTTCCAACACCTCTATGACTTCCTTCTGCTTGTCTCTGCTAGTCCTGGCCACCAGATATAAGCGAGAAGCAATGATATTGTTTTCATCCCCTGCCTTGGAGAAGATGATATCATTTCGAAAATGCTGGAATTCTGGTTTTTTTAAAAATGAGCTTTGTAGGACACTGATGAAGTCACTCTTGTTATTGGCACTGATGTTGCTGACTTTCAGAAACTGGTGGTATTGCTCCACCCAGGACACTGCAGTGAATTCACTACAAAGTCTCCGTAGGTCTTCTTGGACACTGCTGTTCCAGTACTCAAGGGGCTCGTACACATAGAATCCTATCACAGGGCTGTAGTTGCTGAAATATTTTTGCTGAACCATGGCATAGGAGACGCTTGGGGAATCACTGGCAAGTAGATTAATAATGTTGGCTCCATCACTGATCTGCAAGCACCCCATGAAGGAGAAGGAGGCGTAAATGAGATAGAGGATGACAACAAATGGCTTCACATAGATATTGGTAACCCACTCATTGTAATGTTCACGGAGGAAGTGCTGAATGAAGTGGTGCTGGTAGGGGTTCGCCTCATGGTGTGATGTCTGTTGATGCCCATCACTCATCACTGTCTGGAACCATACAGGTTTGCGGTCCAGGTATTCTGCAGAAGGGATCTTACAACAAAAGATGCTGTGGTAGCGGTTTTGCTCTAGTTGGCCAGCGAAGACCAGACAGGAGCCAAAGAAAGAGAAAATGTAGAAGTAGTTTAACAGAATAGAGATACACATGTTCTGACAGAAGACCTTCACAGCCTCTATGTTTGTGAATGGGCTGGCACCCATGCCAAAGGTGATGAGGTACAGGGAGCTGGTCATGGTATAGGTGACCATCACATCAGAATAGGCATCTGCTACCCTGTCTTTGAAAGGTAAATTCTCTTTGGTTCTCCGCCATCCAGATAGAAGCTCAAATACTCCTTTAGTTCCATGACCTAGTGTCAAAAAAGAAAAAGGAAAAAGAAATTGTTTTTATTTCCTCCTATGGTTTAAGTGAATTCTTTATAGATTATTCATGCTAAACTGTACATACTCTAGTCTTCAAAGTGCTATAATTCTCTTATTGCCATCTCAAAATTTGACTTATGCACAGGATATATTTGGTCCCTGTTTCCACTTTAGCAAATACCAAATTTATTGGTATTTTGGGCAAAATAAAGTATTCACTGTCCTATTAATCTGACAAATTGCAGACGTAATGTTACATTATTGCATGATATTTTCCCCCCTGCATACACAGTGTCTTCCTAAATGAATCATAAGTTGTCAGGAGCAGGGGCTGTTATTTGCACATTTTCAACATCATTTCAAGTGTTCAGTCAAGTGATTCATTGACTCATGGTCCTTAACCTCCATTTCAAGCGGATTCATATGCTGATCTAGGAAATTATAAGATGATACTAAAGGCTTAAAAATGGATTTAAATTGATTTTATAGTGTTGATAATATTCTTGGTGGCCAAATGGCTTAGAAACTAATTCATAGAGATTTGATTAATTAGCGTTGGATGCAAGTCAAAAAACATCGCCAGGTCACATAAAAGGTAGGGCAAGACCTTCAGGGAGAAAGATAACAGCAGGCACTTCCTTTGGACCCCTCAAAGAGCTTTTCTTCACATGGAGTTTCATTTATGGGATGAAAAAATACTTCTTTTTAACCAACTGCTGTACATTATTTGTTTATTTATTTATTTAGATACTGGGGTTTGAACTCAGGGCTTCCCACTTGCCAGACAGGGGCTCTACCATTTGAACCATTCCATTAGCCGGTTATCCTTTGGTTACTTTTGAGTTAGGGTTTTGCTTTTTTGCCCAGGTTCACCTGGACAATGATCTTCATATTTTAGGTTCCTTTCATAGCTGGGATGACAGAAGTATACCACCATGCCCACCTTTTTCCTGTTGAGATGGGGTCTTGCCAACTATTTGCACTGGCCCCCAAACCTTAATCCTCCTCATCTCAGTCTCCCCAGTAGTTAGGATTACAGGTATGAGCCATTGGTGCCTGGCAGGACAACCTTTGATAAGGATAAATAGGCAGTTTATTTAACAAGTATTACTTGGACCCCACTATGAGGTAGGCTCTGTTAGCTATTAAGCTGTTATTTTCATGAATTTGACAGACTTTAAGATATGACTACTTCCTGACTGGCAAAAGAAGAAAGCAAATGGAAAGCAGAGGTATTATACCCTACCTGTAATTTCCCTTTTTTTTACTTCCCTGAATTGGATCTGTCAATTACCACCCACGATATATCAATTGGCAACTTTCTGAATGAATGGAAATCTTCATAGATTGCTGTTTCCCTTTAGGCACAGTGACCCTAAACATGAACCATTTCTGTGACAAACTGTTTGGGCTGTTCTCCAAGAACTCCACTAGACAGGGATGTAGTTTAAAGGCACAAAATGACCTAATTCATGAAAACCTGGCACATGGATCTTGTGTGGCACCTAGAAATTGGAGTTACATGTCACATACTCAATTCACTAAGTACAGTTAGCCCGCCTTATCTGCTGATTTGTTACATATGGTTTTGGCTAAGTATGATAACAAAAAATATAAATGATAAAAAATTGAAAAGAAATCTCAAAAACAAAAATTTTAAATTCCTGCATTGCCTTAAGCAACTCAGTTGATGTGCAGAAACTCTCAGTCAGTTTGGTGTTATCATCAGTTCTGTTTAAATTGTTGTGAGTTCTGCAGAGTATTTTCTTGCCCTTAATTTTGTGAAAATATGCCTCCCAAAAGCAAATGGTGCCACCCAAATCAAGGTAAAAGTTATGGTAGCCCTCCCAAGTGCAAAAAGGGCACATAATGTGCTTAATTTAAGTGATAAAGTGAAGTTTTAGATCTGTTGAAGGGTGGCATGATTTTCGTGGAAGTTGGACATTGTGGGAAGAATGAGTCAAGCATTACCATATAGTACCCTGCACAGCCTGAGCATTTGTGATTTTTCCTCTGTGGCGGTCTCTTTGGAACCACATGCTATGGATAGGAAGGGTAGACTATAGTGGTCTAACAAAGATGGAATAATAGCTGGAGTCTTTTCTCAGAACTCCAGATGTGTGCTGCTTGTTCATATTACTAGTTGAGCTAAACAATTCCTGTCCTTAGTCCTTACTTTTTGCTTTTTTTTTTTGTGGTATTGGAGCTTGAACTCAGGGCCTTCACCTTGAGCCACTCTGCCATCCCTTTTTGTCATGGATATTTTCGAGATAGAATCTCACAAACTATTTGCCCAGGCTGGTTTTCAACCATGATCTTCCTGATCTTTGCCTCCTGAGTTGCTAGGATTACAGGCATGAGTTACCTGTGCCCAGCCTTAATCCTTACTTATATTTAAAATTTCAATGTAAATAATTAAAAACTTTATTTCCTAGCCTGCTTTTCAACTAGAGATGTTTCACATGACATAACTCTGGACAATGCAATGTAGTTGGAAATCATCTCAGGATGTTTACTGGAAAACCAGGAGATATTTCATCTTAAATGGCATCAACGAGTCACCAAAAAGAGCCCTAGTCTGCCTGCCTTTGGAATTCTCTTTTAAGAAAATGAAGTCTCCTTTGTCAAGACATTGTAAGTGAGTTTGATATGTGCAGCTGAATCTATTCCTAATAATGTTTTATAGATGACTTAACATTTACTAAACCTCTATTATGGGAGTCTAAGGAATCTTGATTATATTATAGATTTAAGGGGCTGATCTTTGATTTTAAAGACACATTGCCCCTCTTTTGGGAGTTAATAATTATTAGAGAAACAAGGTAGGCATTGTATCACTTCTTCCCTCAAATTAAAAGCCTATGTATTCCCAAAGTTGTCTTCCCGACTTTCCAGTCAGGAAAGATATGGTTATCCTACCAAGTACAAAGGGTTAAGAACAAAAGGCAGGGTTTTTGTTTCTTTGTTTTAATGCAATGATGTATTTCTTCCTGCATTTAATTATAAGCTCAACATACATATATTAAGTAAAGCTTAATGAAACAGACAACACTGATTGTTCATGTCTTCTTGATCAAACAGAACACTTTCTTCTATTCTCTTGACAAAAATAAAATAGTAGGATAATGGTTAAGGTAATTGAAATAGTTCTTTAATTAGAGCTCCTCTCCTCAGAAATGAGGACTCTTGCTATCTTTTTAGTCAGGGGAGGGGAAAGGGTATATGGCACTATGGCTAAATTTGGCTGAACTTTGTTAATGGCCATTTTATTGAAACATTAGTACATTACGTAAGCCAGATTTTTGCTCTATGTTTGCATGTGTGGGAAAATGATTCTGAACCACATTAGGTCAAGTAGTTATTTTAAGTGTGATAGATACTAAAAACATGATCTCCAAACATGGCTTTTTTTTATCTTATTCATAGGTTTAGATACTTGATAGTCACTCATTTGATTCTCACCATAATCTGGTCTCTTCCTAGTAGTTCAAATTTATTGCCTGCCTTAGCCAGAGTTGTCTTTTCTTTACCCCATTAACATGTCCACGGTTAGCCTTATCTTCTCAGTTTTGTTCATGTTATCATCTCTGCCTTACAATAGTTTCCCCTCATTGCTGGTCATCTGTCCGTCAAGGGTTGATTTGATCCTCATCTTTGCCATGAAGACATCTCTGATTATCCTAAATATGTTTTATTTTTTCTGTTCCTTAAACTCTTATTTTACTAATTATTCACTCATTTTAGTCCTTAGCCAAAGGTTATTTTGCACTGGAGCAAAATACTTTTCTCAGAGTGTGTGTTCTATCTTTCAGTTAGAATACAAATTCTTCAAAGACAGGGAGTGAATTTTATGTTACTTTGATACTGAAAATACATCATTTTTATGTTACTTTTATGTAGAATATCTGACAAAGTAATGATGTTCAGAGTATGCCTCACAAACCTCTTAATGAATTAAATCAGTTGAATGCTTGATTCTAGATGGGTCCAAGTATCTTTCTATTACAAATTCTAAAATGTTATATATTTTGATACCTACACCAATTTTGTCCAGAAGAGCTATACACTATTTAACTCAATATGATTGTCTAGGGCTTGTACATATAAGGACTTTTTCTAACAACATATGAGACAAAAATGCAAGCAGGAAACACGTCTATTTCAAATTGTTAGTCCTGGCCATTTTCACTTAGATAATACTGAGATGCAAATCATAGCTTCTAAAGCAACTATTTTGAAAATAGGAATATATACATGGAAAAATATATTCTTGCTTATGACCAAATCATCACTATTTCTGCAAAAATCAAGAAGAAGGGGCAAGATTTAAGAAGATAATATGTCAAACTGATTTTTTGGGGTAGGTATAACTTCTAGTATCACTTAATGAGAAAATGTAGTATATGAAAACAACTTAATTGTTTATTTTGACCCCTTGGTAATGTAGATAAATGCCTTTATTAAAATTCTAGAAATCATTCAATTTTTAGATTTAAAAATGCACCTAATTTTAAAAAGGATCAACTCTGATTGTAACTAGCTCCATTGGTACTCCTTACTGGGCTTTTCTTTGATACATTGTTTTAATAAGCACTTGCTGTGGATTTCTAGTTCTTTTTAGTCATTGAAATGAGAATTCTCTACATTTGCCTTGGAAAGACTTATTTACCAGGTCTTCCTTTTCTCTCAAAACATGTAAAACTCTTGAGCAAGTTGTCAGAGCCTGACATCTCCATCAGAGGCATAAGAAATAGGGATTAAAAAAAAAAATACTAGTTCTCATGACTGCTCCAAAGAAAGCTTTCTCCTTCCCCTTAGCAGTATTGCTGCTTTGGTAGCTACACTTTTAATTGTTATATTTGTAGAAATGATACCTAAGCATAGTGGGAAATAGCACAGTACTGGTAACTACAGGATGTTTGCCATGGGAAACATTCCAAATCATTGCACCTCAAATGTCAGCTTCTGAATCAGCTGAGCACTGATAACTTTACTG